CCCCCCCCCCCCCCCCCCCCCCCCCCCGGAAAAAGAAGGAAGGAGATTTGCAAAGCAGGCTGAGGAAAACAGTGTCCCCCAACCATGTGCAGAGTGCAACGAACACCTCCCTCGAGAAAAACCAAGGAGGGAGAAGTTTATGCTGATTTGCTGAGAGTCCAAGGGAACTAATTCCCTGCTTTCTCAGCAAACATTCCAGAAATCACCGTTAGAAATGAAAGTTGGCAAGGCAGCAACCAAGTGACTGCCAGGCTCCAAACTCTCCTCTACGCCCATATCAGCTATCTCCTAGGCAGGACTTGAAGAGAAGTCCCCAAAACCAAAAGACTTTAAAAGTGGGGGGGCAGGGTCTATTTATCCACCAATTACTTCACAGTCCAGTTCAGGGGTTCCTCCAAACTTGGCAACTCTAAGACTTGTGGACTTCAACTCCCAGAATTCTCCAGTCAGCTATGTTTCATAATTATATATTGATCTTGAGAAAGTTATAGATGATAACAATACGTAAGGTAACATAAAATAGGTGGTAAGCTGAACATGGAAATAACAGGGGATAAAGAATGGAAAATATATGTGAGGATGAAATGATTTTGATATTGAATTAATGAATTGAAATACGAAAGGGGAAATTTATCTCAAGATAAGTCGAATGGATAATCATTTGAAGTGATATTAAGAAAGTTGAAAGTGTAACCATGACTATGTTTAAATAATGTAATCTGGAATCACGTTGCTCACGTGAAGTGATGTGTAAAAAATAAATAAATAAATAAATAAAAACTTTGGGGGGGGGGGGAATCCACAAGTCTTAAAGTCGGAGACCTCTGGTCTAGTGAAGTAAGAACAACCTTCTAGCAAATCGGGACCCAAACGCGCCCGTCCCTTTCTCCTTATAAAAAGAGCGATCTATCCACCCCAGGGAGGGATTATCCCAAGAGCAGATACTCGGGTCAGCGTTGAGTACCCTGCAGTGCCGGAGACGGAGGGTGTTTGCTGGGCTCCGGCCGGCGCTTCAGGCGCTGTTAAGAGCAAGCGCGGGAGTTCCGTGTCTTGCCGCGCCTCAGCTTTTCCCACGAGCCGTGTGCGGGGCGCGGGGCTTGGCGGCGGCGGCTTACCTGAAGGTGAGGACGCAGAGCGGGCGGTAAGACTTGTGGCTGGTGTTCTCGCCCATGCCTTTGCCCCAGAAGTCGTTGGAGAAGGCGGCCAGCGGCGGCGAGGCTCCCGGTCTCGCGTCCGGGTTGTTGACAATCGCCCACACGTCGTCGTGCACGAACTCGCCCTGCAGCGAGTTCCAATAGCAGAGAGCGGCCACAAGCGCGGCACTCGCCGCAGCCCCGCAACGCCCGGGCCGGCCAGCCCGGGCTAACCACCACCGCGGCTGGGGCAGCGGCGTCCGGCTGCTCCGGCTCCCGCTCGCCGACCCCATCCCGTGGAAGGGGCGGCCGCTACACTCGCCTGGCTAACTGCCTTGCTCCGCGGAGCATCCCCCGTGCTCATCTTCGCCCCGCGCCTGCATAGCTCCCCCTCCCCGCCCCGAGAAGGCAGGCGAGGCAGCCGCTCCCGTCGCTCGCGCTCTGCCGCTGCTCCGCCTGGCCGGCTGCAAATAAACAGCGGCCGCCTCTCTCCCCCCCACCCCCCCTCCCCACGCCGCTCCGTCCCTCTCCCCTCCCTCCTACCGCAGCGCGCATGCTCCGCGCGGCACGCGGACCGGCCCTCCCCTGCTTGGAAGCTGGACTTGGGACACGGGAGGGGAGGGGTGAGGTGGACGGCGCTTTCTCCCCCCCCTTCCTCAAAAAAGTTTAGACCCTTGGATAGATACTGTCTCCCTCTCCGGCGTCGGGATTCAGACGCGACGCTGCCTGCCAGCAAATAGACATCCAATCCAGGCGTTCAGCATTGATTGATTTATTTTTATGTATTTATTTGATTTGTCAATCGCTTACAAGATAATAGGTATAAGTATAAACATGAGTAAGAATACAGGAAATCACCACAATGATGTAATCCCCTATTGTAACTTCAAAAAAGGCAACTATGATCTTATAGACAACGATCTCTCATCCCTTGATTGGCAATCTCTATTCACTGGATGCAATACTGTTGAAGACCATTATAACATATTTTTACTTGAAGTCAAAAGAGTCATCAAACTATATGTACCAACAACAACTCCCAAAACAAAACAAAAAAGCAGATTACCCATATCAATAAGGAAACTTCAATCCAAAAAGAGATCACTCTGGCGGAAAAACAAATCTGGTCACGTTGCCAATTTCAAAAACCGATACAAAAATCTATGCCACCAGATAAAGACCGAATGCACCAATTATCACATTAAACAAGAGGAAAACCTTCTAAGCACCAATTCCACCCGCGCTTTTTACAATTTTGTAAACAACAAACTAAAAGACTCAAGGTCCATCCCTCCCTTGATAGGACCTGATGGTAAAGACTGCAACGACGACACCATTAAAGCCAATATCTTTAACACATTCTTCGGCTCAGTATTTGTAAACAGCAATGGATCATGCCCAGTATTTCCTAGCCGTACCACAGATAACAACAATGATCTAATACATATCGATTTCACAGAAGACAATGTTGAAAAAGCAATACGCAACCTAAAACCATCTCTATCTATTGGACCGGATGGAATATGTGCCTACTTCTTAAGAAAGCTATCCTCTGCCATAGCCAAACCTCTAAGCATAATCTTTGAAAAATCTTTCAGAACCAGCTCCTTGCCCAACCTATGGTCACAAGCCACAGTCATCCCCATCTTCAAAAAGGGAGACCCAAGCCTAGTTGAAAACTACAGGCCAATCTCCTTATGCTGCGTCACCTGTAAAGTCATGGAATCAATTATTAACCAATCCATCATCCTTCACTTAGAGACAAATAACCTACTCTCCAATAAACAATTTGGTTTCAGGAAAAAACTATCCTGTAATCTGCAACTCTTACACTGCAAAAACATATGGACGACACAACTCGACCAGGGCAAAACAATAGACGCAATCTACATAGACTTCTGTAAAGCCTTTGATTCAGTGGTACACGACAAACTACTCCTAAAAATAAAATCCTATGGTATCTCTGGACAACTGAATAACTGGATAGAAGCATTCCTGTCAAACAGACAACAAATGGTCAAAATCGGGAACGTCCTATCAAATCCAGTACCTGTCAATAGTGGTGTTCCCCAAGGCAGTGTTCTAGGACCAACTCTCTTCATACTCTACATAAACGACCTCTGTGATCATATTAAGAGCAATTGCGTTCTCTTCGCTGATGATGTAAAGCTGTTCAATACCACAGACAATACTGCTACCCTACAAAAAGATCTTGACTATGTATC